AGGTAAAACTCGAAAAATTAGAATATCGTGCAAAAGTTTATTTATTTCACTAATGCAACTTAAAAGGTGACACTAATATATGAAATAGACTCATTACATGCAAAGCAAGATAGTTCAAGCCGTGATTTGTCATAATTGTGATGATTATGGCTTACAGCTCATGAAAACCCCAAATCCACAATCTCAGAAAATTAGAATATTGTGAAAAGGTACAATATTCTAGGCTCAAAGTGTCCCACTCTAATCAGCTAATTAAGCCATAACACCTGCAAAGGGTTCCTGAGCCTCTCAGTCTGGTTCAGTAGGAATCACAATCATGGAAAAGACTGCTGACCTGACAGTTGTGCAGAAAACCATCATTGACACCCTCCATAAGGAGGGAAAGCTTCAAAAGGTAATTGCAAAAGAAGTTGGATGTTCCCAAAGTGCTGTATCAAAGCACATTAATAGAAAGTTATGTGGAAGGGAAAAGTGCGGAAGAAAAAGGTGCACAAGCAGCAGGGATGACCGCAGCCTGGAGAGGATTGTCAGGAAAAGGCCATTCAAAAGTGTTGGGGACTTTCACAAGGAATGGACTGAGGCTGGAGTCAGTGCATCAAGAGCCACCACACACAGACGGATCCTGGACATGGGCTTCAAATGTCGTATTACTCTTGTCAAGTCGCTCCTGAACAACAAACAACGTCAGAAGCGTCTTACCTGGGCTAAAGAAAAACAGACCTGGTCTGTTGCTCAGTGGTCCAAAGTCCTCTTTTCTGATGAGAGCAACTTTTGCATCTCATTTGGAAACCAAGGACCCAGAGTATGGAGGAAGAATGGAGAGGCATACACTGCAAGATGCTTGAAGTCCAGTGTGAAGTTTCCACAGTCTGTGTTGATTTGGGGAGCCATGTCATCTGCTGGTGTTGGTCCATTGTGCTTCATTAAGTCCAGGGTCAACGCAGCCGTCTACCAGGAGATTTTGGAGCACTTCATGCTTCCTTCCGCAGACGAGCTTTATGGGGATGCTGACTTCATTTTCCAGCAGGACTTGGCACCTGCCCACACTGCCAAAAGCACCAAAACCTGGTTCAATGATCGTGGGATTACTGTGCTTGATTGGCCAGCAAACTCGCCTGACCTGAATCCCATAGAGAATCTATGTGGCATTGTCAAGAGAAAGATGAGAGACATGAGACCGAGCAATGCAGAAGAGCTGAAGGCCGCTATTGAAGCATTCTGGTCTTCCATAACACCTCAGAAGTGCCACAGGCTGATAGCTTCCATGCCACGCCGCATTGAAGCAGTAATTGCTGCAAAAGGGGCCCAAACCAAGTGCTGAGTACATATGCGTGCTTATACTTTTCAGAGGTCCAATATTGTTCTATGTACAATCCTTGTTTTATTGATTGCATGTAATATTCTAATTTTCTGAGATTGTGGATTTGGGGTTTTCATGAGCTGTAAGCCATAATCATCACAATTATGACAAATCACGGCTTGAACTATCTTGCTTTGCATGTAATGAGTCTATCTCATATATTAGTTTCACCTTTTAAGTTGCATTACTGAAATGAATGAACTTTTGCACAATATTCTAATTTTTCGAGTTTCTCCTGTATGTCTTGCAGATGGAGCTTATTACTACCCGTGGTTACATTTGTACTCTGAGCATTGTGCTTATGTGTCCTATTTGGTTTGATATATCATCGAAACTGGTGACATATGTTTTTTCTACTTGATCTGTACTGTTTGGAAATTCTTAATAAAAATGATTCAACGCATAAAATACAGTACATTTAATGAGGTATAAGTTAAACCAGAGCTACATTAGATTGTCTTTTAGTACTGCCTGGAGATCGACTTTATTGAATCAGGTGAGGATGAACTCATATCGATCATCCGTATATGTGCAAGCAAAAGTAATGTTTTGTTACGATTATCCTTACATGCATTTGGGTAATTAAAGTGAACATAACTATACTTTATTAAGTAAATTAACATTGTGCACTACTTTAATAAATCAGCCTGATAGTATTATACATTTTAAATGATACACCATATTCACAATAAATATTATTTCGTTTGTATGATTACATACATAAACTGTACCCTGAGCCTAATATACCTATCACCAAGATAAAAAATGCACCACAACAGCACAATAATGGCATCTTCTGCAACACCATAATATTCCCATAATAAGGAAAACATCCAAAGACTGATATAACCGCTGAGGAAACACTGTGGGTGCCAGCCTTTCTCAGGGGGAACAATAATCATTGGCTAGAAAAATGCTCCAGCTTTCCCTGAACAAGGCAGGCTTAGTCAGATATGTGATGGTGACTGTTAAAAAATATGGACATTTCATATTACAACCATAAATGGCTGAAATGAATAAACAAACAAACAATCTGTAATTGCCACAGGCCCCTTAACCACTTGCCTGCTGCCCTATAGCAGATGTACTGCTACGGGGTGGCACGGCTGCACAAAATCACATATACATATGTGATTTGCATTTGCAGGTATTTCGGCCCTACCCACGCCACTATTGGCTGCCAGGGATATAAATCACTGGGTCCCGGTTGGCTAGTTCCCACTAAGTGTTAGAATGCCCGCCGCCATTGCAAGTATACAAAATAAATAAAACTTCCAGCATCTATACCACCATCGGTAAACACTATAACATTCACGTAAACCAAATTAATATACAGTTATTGGGATTTTTTTTAGCACAGACATGTATCAGAATACATTTTGGCCTAAATTTCTGAAAACATTTTTTAAAATCTACTGAATATGTTTTATAGCAAAAAGTAAAAAATATTGTTTTTTTGTTTATAGTGCAAAAAATAAAAACCGTGATCAAATACCACCAGAAGAAAGCTCTATTCGTGGGGAAAAAAAATGACATAAATTTCAGTTATGTACAGTGTTGATGACCATGCAATTGTAAGTTAAAATAATACCAGTGCCATATGCAAACAATTTGCCTGGTCAGGAAGGGGGGTAAATCCTCTGGAGGGCAAGTGGTTAAAGTTGAGTCAACTATTGAAAAAATTGTATGTTACTGGGGACACCTAAGCAAGACATTAGCATTCTACCTTCTGCTTCATTTATTCTGTAGATCTGTGTTTCCTCCACATCTGCTGCTTCATGATCATTACCCCACCAGCTAGGAGGACAGCCCTGGTATGAAGTAGCAAAGACCGGCCACTACCAAGCTGGTTGCCTCCACAATGAAACACAGCCTGGAACAAGGCATGAGAGGTGAGTAATAGGAAAAAGCTTCAGGGAGCCTAAAGACAATTCTCACTAATGCTCCTTTGAGCTTGGGTTGCCTTTTTTGAGCAAAGGTATAGTACAAGGTACTCTTTAAAGTGATTGTAAAGATTTTGTTATCATTAAAATAACAAACATGTTATACTTACCCACGCTGTGCAATAGAATTGCACAGAGCGTCCCCAAACCTCCTCTTCTGGGGTCCCAAGACCAGTGCTTTAGGCTCCTCCTCTTTTCCAAGTACCCCCATAGCAAACGGTTTGCTGTAGGGGCACTAGTGAGGGCGTCTCCTGAGCGTGCGTCCAGATACACACACAGGGCAGTTTGGCCCCACTCCTTCTTCACTGGTTTTGACTGACAGCAATAGAAGCCAATGGCTCCTGCTGCTCTCAGTAAAGCCAATGAATGCAGGAAGAGAGGAGGGCGAGGCTGCTAGCAGAGACAGCGCTGGATTGAGAGTGCTGTCAGGTAAGCGTTTAGGAGAGGGGGGATAGGCACAGACAATGGAGGGGTTTTTGCCTTAATGTATAGATAACTTGATTGATTTTATTTGTTCCTTAAGACATTTTACAGGAGACAGGTCACAATATTTTCTTACAATTTTGAGAGCAATATTTGCTTTAGTGACTGCAGCTATAACTTATATTGATAGAGGCAGGGTTTTTTTTTCTTGCGGCATAGACTTAATTTGTGAGCATAGAATGCATTAAGGTAAAAAATCTTCAGCTTTTAGAACCACTTTAAGTTGTATTTTCACTTTGGAAGTCAAATAGGGATAAAACATACTTTTTTGTTACATGTCCCTATTCACTTAGCATAACTTAAAAAGAATAGAAATTGCAGTTTATGTTTTTTATATTCTCTTTTCTGAAAATCGCAGGACTAAAAAATCTTCCTTAGTGCTCCCTGGTTATGGGGAGGCTGGTGACTTATCTGACCAAACAAAGGGTTCCAGATTTCCAGGTTTGGCTGGTCTCTCATATGTTTAATGTTAATGTCATGGTAATGCAAAAAATATAGATTCCTATACATAATGCTACTCAAAACAACTAAAACGAAACCTTCCTATCCTTTTTAGCCAAGGAAACTGCCATCTTAGCCTCTGTTTGATCCATAAATGCTATGGTGCTGCATGTGATCAGTTGACATCAGCCATTTAATGGTTTGAGAGTTTGGTTGACAGAATTATCTGCATGCTGAATATCTAACTTTTTTTGAAACTATTAAGTTGATAGGTTTAGTTCTGCTTTAACTATTTTGCCTCTCCCTAGCAGCAGAGTTTGTCCTGTCACCTCTCCTGTTTTTCTTTTCTCCCTCCCCAATCCGTCCTTCATTGGCACAGTCTGCGTCCTTCCTGTTGCTTTCTACCTCCTTCAGCAACAGTAAATCTTAAAGCTGTCAGCTGATCGGCCTACAGTGGATCTAATTTTAGGCACAGTGCCAAGAACAGAGAGCAACTGAGCATGTGCAGAGCAGGGTGGGACAATGCATTGCTGGATTTTAAAACAGTTTGGGCAATTATTTTCATGTTTTACATAGCTATACCTGCAAAAGGGGCCACCCTGAGGTGATCTAACGGGATCTAATTTTTTGACTAAAGTTCCACTTTAATTTTTTAAAGATACCATTTTTTCATTGAAGTGACTGCTGTTTGAAAGATCATATCTTTATGGCCAGCATAAGCAGCAACAAATTCTAACTTCTACGATGGCCATAAACAGGGGCGGACTGACAACTCATGGGGCCCCCGGGCAATAGGAGATCATGGGGCTCCTGTGTCCTTGCCCTAATTCAAAAAAGCCTATGAAAAAAGGTACCAGGGGCATCTCATGGGGCCCCCTACTGACCCCGGGCCCTTGGGCAGTGCCCAAGTTTCCAAATGGTCAGTCCGGCCATACATAAATATGTAAAGTATGCCTGGCTTGCCACTGAAAGGACTGGTACATTTGAGAGAAGACAAGACTTAATATCACCCTCCCAAGATACATTTGTAATTGAAATAAGGACACCTATTGTTTCTACTATTTCCTAAGTCCAAACTATTGATTAAAGTTTCTAAATAAAACCAATTGTGTTGAATAATTGTATTTACATACAGGTATTTATTTGCAGTTGTAGTAATAATATAGTACAGTAAATGAATTGTTGTCGCAAGCAATGAATCAAACAAAAGACACACAGATATTACAGAAATATTTGTTTAAAGAAGATATACAGCACCAGATCTAATCAAATGAAGAATCTTCCCCCACAGAATTTTAATATTCTCTCTGTGAGATTGAATCTTGTGCTGCCTGCATCAATATTGCCAGCAGAAAGCCAGGCGGAGATGTTATGAAGCTTATTTGTCATACGCAGAGATGACTTGTCGGAGTGACAGGGACAAATGTATCATGTGACAACTCCCATCAAACCATTTCACTGATTGACTGGTTTGCTATTAAAGAGTGCATGGTGGTAATGGGGTCTTTCCATAAACTATTCAGTCAGAAGCACCAGACACGATAAAGACAAAAAACCATTATATGGAGAAGGTCATCAGTCTGTGTTAAAAACTGAGGGATGCTCCAGGTGCAAACTGGGAGGTGTCTGGGGAAAAACAGTCTTCAAAATTGCCTATCAATTTTCACCGCTTATTGAACCACTCTTTCTGATTTACCAACTGATATTGCCTTCACCCTCTTGAGCTGGGCATAAATGGATCACATTTAAACAGATTAATACTAAATTGTCCAAGATTCACACAATGGATGGCCTTGCAAGCCAAGTGGAAAAGTTGTCAGCTATGGCACAATTGTTTTCAGGCAGACATGGGTACCACAACTGCCTGAATACAATGGAGATTCCTTCATGAACACTGTTAAGGGAATGGGGGAATCAAGCAATTTTCTGTCTATCTTTTGCAGGCTGAATGGCCAAACTCTGAGCTGTCTATTCCCAGTCTTATTTCCTACTATATGTAGCCTTGCTCTTCTGTTTTGCTGAAAAAAAAATTATGTGATTGCTACACAAATAAAGTTACATTTTAAATTAGATGTAAACGAAACACTAAAATCTTATACAAGCTTTAACGCTGAACAGTGGGTAAAATCAAATTTATTCTTGCAATGGGACTCCTCAATGCCACAAGGGTTAAATAGTCGTTATGCAAATTAACAAAAGGGGGGTGGGGGCACTGGTCTAGTGCAAACACATTTATTAATAAAAAGGTGATAAGTAATATACTCACAAACGACGAATACGTCAAAAGCACATCAGAAAAGAACAGCACACTGTCCAGTCCATATTGCATGACTGTCCACAATAGGAAACCTGGACCTCCAACAGGCTAACACATTTCGAGGACTTGCCTCTACCTTAGAGCCCTCGTTAGCCTGTTGGAAGTCTAGGGTTCCTATTGTGGACAGTCATGCAATGTGGACTGGACAGTGTGCTGTTCTTTTATGATGTGCTTTTGACAAATTCGTCATTTGAGAGTATATTACTTATCACCTTTTTATTAATAAATGTGTTTTAAGGTAATGCACTAGGCCAGTGATCCCTCTGTTTGCATGCTTTGCATTCAGTGTTTTTGGATTTCCCTGGTCCTTTGACGGCAGCAAGGCATGCACTATCCAGGACAATCGAGATGGAGTTGTAGCATCTGGTGAGTCCACCCTCAAGCACGGGAGTATTTGTGTGTGTCTTTTTAAATAGTCGTTATGGTCTAGGTGGAACATTAACAGTATTTTACTTACTTTAACCCTGGCACCTTCTGCTCTCTGGTGTTCCAGGTTGTGGGTGGGTCCCTGGTGTCCTCACTTACAATGCAGGATTACTGGACCTGCATTGTATGTTATGATATCAGAGTCCCTGCAACCGATGGAGCAGCAATGAAAATTGGCTTGGGGGGACCAGTCATGCGGATAGGAGGAAGCCCTTGGGAGTGAGGGGTAATGTAAGTAAAGCCCTTTATTGTGTTACCCCTAAGCAAAAATTAGCATTTAAAGCAGGACTAAACCTAAAATGTAAGATATTGCTAGCAGATATTCATGGTAGAGGCTCTGTATGTCTCTTCTGCTATAAATTCTTCCTCCCTGCCTAATGGCAGTTTCTTACAACTTGCACAATGACAGCCACACAATATAAGTCGTGTAAAGTAAGTGCTGGGATGAATGACCTTCCATGTGCGTTTGAGAAAGTTGCATCATCCCAGCACAGCCAATCAAGGCTGATGAAGATAGCAGACGTTGCAGCACTGGAGGGGGCACTTTACAAGGTAAGAGTGCCAAAATGTGTAAATATACTGTGCAAATTGGCATATTATGACAAAAGCTTCTGGGGAACCTGAAATGTTTAATTCCATCTTAACCCTTGCAGTGTGGATAGTAGCCTCTCTGCACATTATGACATTACCTTGCAGGGGATTTTTTTTTCAAGCTGCAGTTTACTTTTTTCTTTAAAGCTGAACTCATGGTAGAAAAAAGTAAATCGCAGCTTGGAAAAAAAAATCCCCAGCAAGGTAATATCATAATGTGTTAGTATTCATCGCATACTAGCACATTGTGAAGGACTTTCCTTAAAACAAAGACCTCCAGGGGCGCACTGTCCCCACTGCAGAGGCTTCCATCTTTAGACGGTTTTCCGTCTGGGTTCACTAGCTCCGGCCATCTGACTGCGCATGCGTACAAGAGTCTCGGGCCATGAGTGTGCCGTTCCCTCAGAGCACATGCTGTCAAAATGAGCAAATATCTCCTAAACACTGCACATCTAGGAGATATTCATTTTAGCATTAAATTAGAAGCTTACCTGTAGGTAAAAGATACAAGAGTGGTTTTTCCAAAAACCCTGTGGGACCCCCTCAGCAACCACACAGGCTGGATTTGCTGCAAGAACCTTTACTGTAAGAAGCTCACTAAACTTCTACATCAACCACAGACCTAAGGAGCCACTTCCATGGTGGAATGATGGATATTTCTTAGCTGTCTGGTGAGATGGTGGATGTTCCCAGGTGTGCTCTGTGTCCCCACAGAACACCGACAACCCTGGAGACATCTACCATCTGGCAGCTAAGAACTCTCCATCATTCCACTAGACAGATTTTGTATCATTTCCTGATCCAGTGATTGGCTCACTGCTTTGCCCATCAGTTTGTATCCTATTATAACATTGGGATTACTCATGTGAATATGGAAGGCAGACTTTCCAGATTAATTTAGTCTAAGGAAGTTATAATAAAATTTCTGCAAAGTATTATTGACCAGAAGAGGACTGTTTAATTTTCCTCATAAAAAGATAACATATAGATGGGAATGCTCTAATCATTACTTTTATCGTGTTGTGGCAACATCTATTGAGTCTGTTGGTATCAGCAAACAAAAGCAGACACCCCCAACCAATTGCACTCAAAGAAGTTAGCAATCAGCTCGATAGCATTTTTAAGCTTTCAACTACCATTTCCCCTAGGATTAACCTGGGGTCAGTGAAGACTAGCTGCTCAACCTCCATGCATTTTAATGTCCTAATCATTCAAAGATCTTCTGAGGTCAGAGTGCGCTCACACATCTGGCTGCTGTTTACTATCTCAACCAACTCTTGGTTTATTCAGATCACGATAACTTTTTTTTGCTAACTCTTTTTGCTATGGTTTAGGACATTTTAAGTGTGTAATGAGTATTTCCTTGCAGAAGAGGAATCACAACTTTCAGTGCCCTTCATTAAACCATGCTCCGTCTGCAATCCAATGCCATTTTAATAACAAATGATAATAGTAAACTATAGCAAAAGGCAAAATGACAGTATAGAATAGTAAATTGATATCCCTTATCTGAAGATTAACTCTACTACTTTTGAAACACATTTGTTCTTTTAAAGTGTATGTAAAGGCTATATTTAGTTTTGGATAAAGAGTGACAGGTTAGATCCTTTGTCAAGTTTTTATTGTTGTAATAAAAAATAGAAACTGAAGCACCACACCACTGCAAAAAAAATCCAGAGAAAACTTTATTCCAATGAAAGTCATGGGAACAATCCAAAGGGTAGCCAACATATTTTGAGGTTTCAAACACCTTTTACTGCCAAACCAGCTGCTGTCAAGTTAAATAACACACTGTGCAGCGCTATAAACCACTGATATAAAAAATAACAATTTCTATAAAATGAAGTTCCAAAAATTAATAATCCAGAGAAATGAACATACTCACAGACAACATTCTAAAGCTATCAGGCATTAGGTGCTTAATATCTTGCATATATAGCATGCATAAATAAATGAACACCAAATCAAGTGAAAAGTGTTAAGTGCCAAATAAACAGGTAAACAGTTCATGTAAAAGAAAAAAGTCCAATGTCTTTTATAGCTATATGAACCAGTGACATAAATTCGATTGTGACACCTCTTCTGTACAATCCTTCACCTCTATGCATTCACAAGAACTCTGGTAAAAACAAGCCTGCAGTATTAGATGAGAACAAAGGATGTCCGATCGGCTGCACTCCAAAAACCACTTTATTGAACCAAAATTAAACCAATACAGACAGTGGAAATACTTTGGGGGACTGGCAGGTAAACGCGTTTCATGCTAAAGACAGCGCTAATTAATTACCCCTAAGCCCGCAGTATTACTCCAATCTTTGACAGCTCACTTCACTCATTCCTCTTGACGGATCCGATCAGAAGTAACCAGGATACACCTTAATAAAAGTTGCTCACCACACGGAGCCCAGAGAAAGGTGCATAGTGTATTATTTTATTCAAAACACAGTATAAAAATCCATGTGGAATACTTAAAACGGCCGGACTTACATAAATGGCCGCTGGACCATACACGGACTCAGCGGCGTGACGTCAGCACGTAGGCTCCTACTGACGCGTTTCGTGCACATGCACGTTCTCAAAGGGACCCACTTCCATTTTATTGGATATGTTTTATGACAGAAAGTAGAAAATATCATTTTTTTCAAAATTTTTAGTCTTTTTTCATTTATATCACCAAACAATTAAAAAAAACTGTGATGATCAAATGTCACCAAAAAAATCTATATTTGTGTGAAAAAAATGATAAAAATTTTATTTATGTACAGCATTGTTTGACTGCGCAATTGCCATTTAAAGTAGCACAGTGTTGAAATGCAAAAAATGCCTTGGTCATGAAGTGACCATCACTACCAAGACAGAGCATGAGAGGAAATCCTGTCATTTTGAGTTGTCACCACAGAAAGGTGTGGGGGAATCTTCCAATGGGGTCACCTATGACAATTCTTTAAGTTGGAAGTTTTATTCATCCAATGGGAGACAGACAGCAAAAAAATAGCTTGATGGGGGGTTTAACCCTTGTCTTCTCTATGAAAAATTAAAAAAAGCGTTAGCTATAGATACACTTTAATTATCAAGTGACATACGGAAACTCTGCAAATATATAAATTTTAATTCTCAATGCTCTACCATTATCACAGGGCCAGGCCAGTATAGACCTTGCATTGTTTACATTCAGGAAGATGTTTGTAGTTTACACAGCAAGATGTCAGCATAGGAGTTTTTGAGTCCAGAGCCTTTGTCCTTTACATTGTTATTTAAATTAAATTAAATTCATTATGAAATTTAATGAAGTTAAATCATTAACCCCCTAAGCATTGCCATCTAAAGGATGTATTAAAGAAGGCTATTGTTCAAACGTATTTTATTAAGGACAGGCCAAGGAGAGTTCTTTTGAAGGATTTTGGGTGTCATCTTTAATCATCGGTAGCCAGAAGATAGGGATAGTCACATGATGTGACGTAACGCGTATGGTACACCCATGACGTCAGGCCTCTAATGATCATTTTGGAAAAGGGATTTCTGCACATTTCTCTTACAGTAAACACTGTATAGTGAGTTTTTAACCCTGTAGTGTCCCAGGACACATTTTAATGTGAGTGGTACTAGATTGTTTTAATAAAGGCTGTTTTTAGTGGAAATACTACACTATATTGAGCATTTTTTTCACATGGATATGGAGCAATCTGGATCTGCTTAAAAGTGCTGGCTAACGGTGGTGAAGATCTGTGTACCATTATACCCTCCCGGGTTAAAGGGAAAAGCGCAGTTTGACCTGACAATACGGGTCAAACTTGGAGGTGAGCGCAATTGAGTGTTGGAGGTGGAAGAGCGCTAATGGGTGACACAGGAGCACCGTACACGTTTATACAGTAGTGTGTTTACACTGGTACACTGGTAGTACAGCGGATTTAAAGGGACGGTTCACCATTCTTTGAGATTATATTCAGATGACACTTGTTGCTGCTGTGTTTTGGATCACGATATACAGGAAGCGTACCACACAAGTCCACGTGATGATATTTAGGATTTAAAAAGGGACAGATCACCATTAAGGACTATTTATTTGGTATTTGTGTGTACTATTCATTTATAGCACTGGTTATGTGCAGTGTTCATGGGTGCTTATATGTATGCATTGGAAGACATCTGGTATAGCATACATTGATTCTCACAAGTACAGTTTTCTGTTTTTTCACTTTTATATATGCACGTATTAGATTGTTAGCACCATATTTATGTATATATTGTTGCACTGCATTTCTTCATTTTATCTAGAAGATAGGGATAGTTTGTGATAAAATGAGGCCCGGGCAGAAATTCAGTAGGCATAATATGCCTGTAATACAGTACAATTTCATAAAGACATAGTGCCATGTTTTAAACACAATAACATACTACATAAAACTGGACAAAACTAACACTAACTACATACAGTGCCTCAATCAATACTGTAAATACACTTCAAAGACCATCATATGCAGCTCTTTGTCTATGAATAGCAACACAGCTAAAAATCAAAGCTTCTACAACTCAATGATAACAGTTTAAAAGAGTAAAAATAAGTCACCAACATGCAGAAAATAAATACTTTTAAATGCTATTTTCCATCGCCAGTGCCACATTTGGGAATCATGACCAATGGGTCCAGATAAATAAAAGATAAGGAATAATATAAAAACTATGACTACTGTATATATTAACCATTATTTTAATATTATTATTATAATACAGGATTTATATAGCTCCAACAGTTTGCTCAGCGCTTTACAATATAAAGGGAGACAATACAGCAACAATACAGTTCAATACAAGAGGGTTAGGAGGACCCTGCTCCTTGGAGCTTACATAGTTTATATTTTATAACAAACATGATTTGGCTAAAAGAGGAGAGGCTGTTTGTGACCTTAATTAGGTCCAAACAAACCCCAAACTAAATAGGGAGAATGGGCAAAGTCATAGTAATCACAGTGCAACCCTCATTTCATCAAAATTCACAAGTCAGTAACAGGGGTGGACTGACAACTCACGGGGCCCCACCCCCGGCAATAGGGGATCATGGGGCCCCTGTGTCCTTGCCCAAACTCAAAAAAGCCTATGAAAAAGGTACCAGGGGCATCTCATGGGGCCCCCTACTGACCTCGGGCAGTGTCCGAGTTTCCAAATGGTCAGTCGGCCCCTGGTCAGTAACAATAACAAGAAAATGTAATTTTTATGGCTGGGGTGGACAACTAGCCAGTGAGACACTTCGTAAAAAGCCTCCCACTAGAACACAACTCAGATTTAGGGCACATTGATACAAACAGAGAAGGTGATAACTTTAATAAGCCTCAGACCAGATTGATACACCCTTGAAAAAAACACAGCCAGCTTAAGAAATATTTAGAAAACAGAGGCGCCATAAATCCCATTAAAACATTCCAAGCTACAAGCAAAGCAGATTGTTGTAAACCTCTATGAAGCCAGAGTCTGCTCGTAGCTGTTGTAAACCTGTCACGAAACAGCATAGAGCAAATGCATCTATGAGTCTGGATTTTGACCTTGAATCGAACTGCCAGGACAAAACTCTACACATAATCCATAATTCCTATGATGAAGCAACATTTAAAACATACTGTATTGGGGTTGATTTACTAAAGGCAAATAAACTGTGCACTTTGCAAGGGCAGTTGCACACATTTTCCCCAGAGCTTAGTAAATGTGGTAAAGCTCTGCTGATTTCCATCATCCAATCATGTGCAAGCAAAAAAGATTTCATTTGTTTTCCTTGCTTCTGATAGGGTATTCTTTACTAAAGTGAAGCTTTACCACATTATATTTTCTAATGAAAATGAGCGCAACTGCACTTGAAAAGTGCACAGTCTGTTTGCCTTTAGTAAACCAACCCCATTGTTACACTAATGTATAAGAAAATAATCAGCTCGACACCAAACACACCTAGGGTACAAAGTGCAGAAGGTCTATATTATATTTGGTGTTTAACCTCTTGGCGCTGGCCAAACGCAAATGCGCGGTCCCCCCCGGCTTCTGGGCCTAGACGCCGCGAGCTGCCGCACATTTGTGTTCTATTAAAAAAAACATGTGCTGAGAGCGCACGCCCTGCTCACTCCCAGCACACACGTTCGGTACTCACAGAAAGGTCCCGTTCTCCTCTTTCGATTGGGACCTTTCCCGATCATGTGACCACCGTGACAGCGAATCATGGCGGCCACATGGCCCTAAAACCTCGCCCCACCTCCCAGCTCCTGGAACCATTAAAGGGCCGGGAGGCGCCGACGGCAAGGGGTTAATAATGGCATGCAATGCCAAGCTGCAATTTCTAAAGCGAGCAAAATCCTCTCTTGTATTAAAAGAAGTATAGACTCCAGAGAGAGAGATATTATTCTACCCCGATACAAATCATTAGTAAGACCTCATCTGTAATATGCAGACTCTAAAACCCCCGGTTTCTGGAACCCTTAAAGGACTGGGAGGCACCTGCGCCAAGGGGTTAACAAACCTTAATATAATTCAATAATAATCCAATAATACGTTGGTTATCAGACTGTAACCCATAGTTAGATGGAAATAAAGATATAGTTAGAACAACACTGAGTGAGTGTCTGCTGGAGCATCATAAAACATTTCGACACCCCTGTAGCACACCCCTCAGACCCATGGATTGGTTGTGTGATTTCTGTAAATGCCATCTTCAGGGAAAGGTGGCTAGCACTTTCAATTACCATGAAACCATGAAGGAATGCTAATGTGAGCCGGTGACTCCAGATTTTTTTGCAAGCATTAAACCAAAGACCAGGCGAACACTGCTAAGTATTTTTTTTTTTTCACTTTTTAATCCTATTTATTTTACTGTTGTGAATTGTGTCTTTTGCAATATCTTTTCTGTCATTTTTTTTTCAAAGTTTATCAAAACTCCTCTAGAATTCCATTAGTCCTGGGTTTTTCTTTCCAGCTAAATGTCAAAAGAATTGCCGGCATTGCCCGATAAATAACTTTTTTTAATTAAACGGCGTGGGGTCCCCCCTCCCATCCATACCAAGCCCTGTGGGTCTGGTATGGATTTTGAGGGGAACCCCCACTCCAATTTTTTTTTTTTTTTAAATGACGTGGGGGTCCCCCCAAAATCCCTACCAGACCCTTATCTGGGCATGCAGCCCGGCAGGTAGGAAAGGGGGGGTGAGTGACCCCCCCTCCTGAAGCATACCGGGCTACATGCCCTCAACATGGGGGGGTGCTTTTTGCCCATGTTGATGGGGACACAGGGGTGGCACCAGACAATTTTTTTTGGGGTGCTATGCTGGTGCTTGAAGTATGCTTGAAGCATGCGTGGGGGTGCTCATGCGGTATGCAAAGCGCACCACCGTCCGCAGACATGTCAGCATGGCCAGCAAGTAGGCATGGCCAGCAAGTGGAGGAAGAGGTTTCTTCATGACCTATGACTTGTAATATAACACTTTCCCCCTTTGTATAGACCAAATAGGACCTGGGGTTGAACTGAAGAGACTTTGGGATTAAAATAAGCCCAGCTGGGGACAGAAATGAAAATCCATAGCTTGCGTCAAACTCAGCAATAACCCCCAGCACAGCAAAATAATTAACTCCCAATACTTCACAATAATTATTCCACAGTAGGACGCAAACATTACCCCCTAGCACAGCACAGTAATTAACCAGGGTTCAGCATGACACAGTAATTAAACCCCACCACCATTGCACAACAATGAACCCTCAACATTGCATGGTAAATAACCCACAGCACATCACAACCATTAACCCCCAGCACGACATAGTAATAAACATCCAGCACAACACAATAATTGCTGAGCACATCACAGTATTGAACCTCCAGCACAACACATTAATTAACCCCCAACATTGCACAATATAAACCTCCAGCAGTATAGCAATCAAATGGCCCCTCCTCTGTATATCAGTAAAAAGCAAAAAAATGCAGTGCAACTCTACAATTCCTCATAAAATTGTACAAATGGACTTACAAGTGCAAATCAACCGATGTATTGCAATATAGTAGTGCTGTTGTCACCCTCTCTGCAAAAATATTTTGAGAAATTACAGAGCTGCAATGTACAAACGATGGTGAAATCCCCTACGTACAATAATAATAGCAGACATGCAAATCAACAAGTGTAGTAGAACATAGTAGGGATGGTGTCACCCCTCCTGCAAAGGTTAAGAAATATTGCAGAGCTGCAATGTGCAAACAAGGGTGAAACCCCCTACATACAATAATAATAGAAGAGGTGCAAATCAACCAGTGTATTAGAACATAGTAGTGATGGTGTCACCCTCTATGCAAAAGTTAAGAAATATTGCAGGGCTTCAATGTGCAAATAGTGGTGAAACCCCCTATATATCATAATAATAAATGTACAATATGTACATTGATTTTACATTTATTATGATTTCTTAACTGTTTCAGAGTGGGTGACAGGATCACTGTTATGTTCTAATACACTGGTTGATTTGCGCCTCTTCTATTATTATTGTATGTAGGGGGTATCACCAATATTTGTACATTGCAGGTCTGCAATTTGTCAAAATATTTTTTCAGAGAGGGTGACACCATCACAAATATATTGCAAAGCATTGGTTGATTTGTACTGGCTATTCATATATAGGTTTTACCATTGCAATTTTAAGTCGTAGAGAGGAAGTGTAGGGTTGTGCTGCATTTTTAGCTTTCATTGATTAACGTTGGCCGTGGGAACACATACAGCATCAATGCTAGCTGCAACCAGCTAAAAAGATTCTGTGGTTATTGCTTTTGAGATTTTTTGGGTTGCGCAATAGCGGTTTTTATTTTATTTGGTATGTCCTCTGTATACTGGTAGCCAGTGGTCCTGCATACTAGTGGTCAATGTGCCCCCGTATACTGGTGGTCAGGGCATTTTTCTCAAAGACTAGGTGCAGGATCTCAACCACGCACCACAATATAAATTACCCCATTTCCCCCACTGGGGGGGGGGGGGGGGGTTATGCCGCATCAAATGGTGGTTATGCCCAATCTGTACTAACAGTGGAAGGGTCTTAAAGGGGCATTGTTAGAAACCAGGAGTGTGCAGTGTGCTACTTACAGAGTGTGGGGTTGAGGAGCATGCTACATGCACAGTGCATATTTCAGAAGTGTGCTACGTATCTATAGCGCAGGGTTGAGGAGCATGCTACACAGAGTGCAGTGTTCAGAAAGATGCTACGTACAGAGTGCAGGGTTGAGGAGCATGCTACATACAGAATGCAGAGTTCAGTAGGATGCTACAGTGTGCAGGGTTCAGGAGGATTCTACATACAGAGTGCAGGGATCAGGAGGATGCTCCGTACAAAGTGCAAGGCTCTGGAGTGTCCAGTGTACAGAGTGCAGGGTTCAGAAGAATGCTATGTAAAGAGTGCAGAGTTCAGGAGTGTACTAAATACAGAGTGCAGGGCTCAGGAGTGTACTACGTACAGAACACAGGGCGCAGGCTGGGCTACGTACAAAGTGCAGGGCTCAGGATGATGCTATGTACAGAGTGCAGAGTTCAAGAGGATGCTCCGTACAGACTGCTGGGTTTAGGAGGATGCTACATACAGAGTGCAATGTTCAGGAGGATGCTGTATTCTGACACCAGTAAGGCTTGTGGTAAAGATCCTCCATGGGACAGACAGAACAGCGCACACATCAGGGAGAAAAGACATGATGTCTGGGTGTTCTGTCCATCCATCCGCTTGCCTTATCTTTGACATACAGTAAATATTGCTGGTTGTACCCTGCTGTATTCCTTCAGCCTGGGATCACACTGATGCAGACTGGAATTTGCAGCGTTTTCTGTGCGTATACCGCACTACATCAGAATAACACCCCGTACACAGTGCAGGGTTCAGGAGCGCGTTATGTACAGAGTGCAGGGCTCAGGATTGTACTATGTACAGAGTGCAGGGCTCAGGATTGTACTATGTACAGAGTGCAGGGCTCAGGATTGTACTATGTACAGAGTGCAGAGCTCAGGAGTGTACTACATACACAGTGCAGGGCTCAAGAGGATGATACGTACAGAGTGCATTGTTCAGGAGTGCATTACGTACAGAGTGCAGGACTCAGGTGTGTACTATGTAAAGAGTGCAGGACTCAGGAGGATGCTGCGTACAGATTGCAGAGTTCAGGAGTGTACTACGTACAGAATGCAGGGCTCAAGATGCTACATACAGTGTGCAGAGTTCAGGAGTGTGCTACATGGAGTACTTAGTTGTGAATGGGCTGATTTTCTTGAATAGATTGCATGACACGAGGAGGGACAGATAGTACAAGCTCAGGTTACTTTTATTGAGATTCTGGCTGGGTTCACACTGATGCAATGCAGAATTTGCAGT